GAGGCAGGATAATCACTTGAACCTGGGAGCAGAGGTTGCAGTGAGCCAAGATCATGCCATTGCACTCCAGCCGTGCGACAGAAGTGAAACTCTGTCTCAAAAAAAAATAAATAAATCACATGCACACGTATGTTTATTGCAGCACTATTCACAATAGCAAAGACTTGGATCAACCCAAATGTCCATCAGTGACAGACTGGATTAAGAAAATGTGGCACATATACACCATGGAATACTATGCAGGGTAAAAAAGGATGAGTTTGTGTCCTTTGTAGGGACATGGATGCAGCTGGAAACACATCATTCTCAGCAAACTATCGCAAGAACAGAAAACCAAACACATGATGGGTGCAGCACGCCAACATGGCACAAGTATACATATGTAACAAACCTACACGTTATGCACATGTACCCTAGAACTTAAAGTATAATAAAAATAAATAAATAAATAAATAATAATTTTAAAAAATCTAAGGCTATCATGGTATATTGTCCTCATCCTTTTCCTTTTAACCTATTTGAGCCTTCATATTTAAATGGTGTTTCTTGTAGGCAGCATGTAATTGGCTCTTTTTCATTTATCTAATCTGAAATCCCTATATTTCAGAGTTTCAAATATTTAAAGATATTTCTGTACCATTATCTTTTCTTCCTTGGACTAAACATCGTCTTATTATGGTTTGGCTGATACTTTTTCTAAATCCTTCACTATTATCAAACTCTTCTGTCCATGCTTTGCTTCAAAGGGATATTACATCACAATAGAGATTTTGAGTCACCTTCTGCAAGAAATGCTGATCATTTATTACTTCATTTGCTTAACATGATCACCAAAGATCTATCTAGTCCCTCACCATTTGGTTAAAACCCATCTAGACCATCTGTCCCACTTTTCTTACCCAAATCATATTTTTTTCTTGGGTCACTACTGATTTTTTGATCTCCAGAAAAATTTCAAGGGGGCGTAAGAGAAAATCTATTAATCAATTAATTTCCTCTGGAAATAGCTGTTTTATCTTAGTTATACCAATTCTAGTTGAATTATTTTGAATGTGGGTCAAACAAAACTAGACTATAACTGAAAGGGTATTAAAATGTTTGCCTTTTTCTTTTTCTTCCAGGTAAAAATGTCTCCATCATATCATCAGTCCAAAGGGGATCCCACTGCTAAGAAGGTGAGTTTGTTTTAATAAAGGCAAAAAACCAGTTCCTCTTCTGCATGTTTATTCTCCTATGTGGAACAATATTCTCAACATGGCAATGATTTTTAATCATCTTAATGCTCTCCAGGGTTATTTCTGATTAGATGCTTTAATGACATGTCTCCAGGCCTTCTTGGCTCCTCCAGAGAAGCCAAGTTGGGTTTTGACATCAGTCTCCTAGCAACTATCCATTTCTAGAATTTCCATCTTCTATACCAGGCATGGTATCATGGTAGCAGGTGAAAGATATTCAGAGGAAAGCTATATAGTTTGTCTTAATAATGTGCTTTACTTTGGCCGGGTGCAGTGGCTCACACCTGTAATCCCAGCCCTTTGGGAGGCTGAGGTGGACGAATCATCTGAGGTCAGGAGTTCAAGACCAGCCTGGCCAACATGATGAAACCCCATCTCTACTAAAAATAGAAAATTAGCTAGGCGTGGTGGTGCATGCCTGTAATCCCAGCTACTCCAGAGGCTGAGGCAGGAGAATCACTTGAACCCAGGAGGCAGAGGTTGCAGTGAGTCGAGATTAAGCCACTGCACTCCAGCCTGGGCAACAAGAGTGAAACTCTGTCTCAAAAAAAAAAAAAAAATGTGCTTTACTTCTACAGAGCTGTGCCTAAAAAAACTGGCCTGAGATATTAACAGCACATGAGAAGGTCTTCAATAAATACTGGCAGAAGAGAGCTCTCATGTGTGCCGCTTCAGTTCCTGACTGTAAGCTTTGTGACCACAGATAGGGTCTGACTGTTTTACACCCTATCTGAGCAATGCATAGATGATGTCAAGAGAACCACTAAAATCTTTTCCTTTATCCGGCTGCAAAAGTGCGGTTGAAACATGGTAAACAAATTGACATTTCTGCTCGTTTCTTTCATCATTTTTCTTTCTCTAATAGTCAAAGTGTTTTTTTTCCTTGCCCTTTTTTACCATTTCAGCCAGCATCCGTATCAGTGAAGGACTATAGAACAAAAATAACCACCTGCTGGCTCTGTTGACTAACAGCAGGTTTTAGCTTCAAAGCAATGTTCCAAAAATGGGTCCCCCTCCTCTGACTTCAGAATCCCCTGAGACTTTTTCAGAAGAGAAGAGTCTAAAAACAAAATATGTTGTCTGAAAAGGCCTATAACACACTGCACATAAAAATCCTCTTTCACGCTTGTCAAGGCAGTAGGGGCAGGCAAGACTGAGGCAGTGACTGTTGATACTTAGAACCATCACACTGTAACGCGAAGAGTGGGGGGAGCCTGTCATTTTCGTCTCACTCAGTAAATAGATGAGGAAATGGGAATCCAGAGGGATTCCAATTTTTTGTCTTGGCTTTCCAATGTTAGCTATGGAATACACTTCTAACATAGTGATGTCAAGCATGTGCTTTGGATACCACCAGACTTGGGTTCAAAGATTTACTCTTCTACTTATTTATCTGAATGACCTTGTGTAAATTGGCCCCTCTGTTTCATCTTATGTAAAATGGTGATGCTACTCTCAGAATTGTCCTGAATATTAAATGAAATACTCTACTGTTTAAGAGTCTAACATTGTGTTTGACATATAGTAAGTACTCAAGCTGTTGTTGACACTAGTATTAAAATGCAGGTCTCCCGGCTCCTAATCGATGTCCTCTTACTTTATCATGCTGCTTGTATAATATTGTTCATTCAGCAAGTATAGTCTACCCTTCACATTTGTGGGTTCTGCATCTGTGGGTTCAACCAACCACAGATTGAAGATATATGGGGGGGGGGAAATGATAAAAAATAATGAGACAACAATAAAAAACAGAACAACTATTTACATTGTATTAGGTTTTATAAGTAATCTAAAGATGATTTAAAGTATATGGGAGGATTTACACTGGTTATATGCAAATACCATGCCATTTTAAAGGGCTTGAGCATCCATGGATTTTGGCATCCACAGGAGGTCCTGGAGTAAATTCCCCACAGATACCAAGGGATGACTGTATTTCTTTTTTTTTTTTTTTGAGATGGAGTTTCCCTCTGTCGCCTAGGCTGGAGTACAGTCGCACGATCTCAGGTCACTGCAACCTCCGCCTCCCGGGTTCAAGCGATTCTGCTACCTCAGCCTCCTGAGTAGCTGAGACTACAGGGATGCACCACCACACGCAGCCAGTTTTTGTATTTTTAGTAGAGATGGGGTTTCACCATGTTGGTCTCGAACTCCTGACCTCATGATCCGTCTGCCTTGGCTTCCCAAAGTGCTGGGATTACAGGTGTGAGCGACTTTTTTTTTTTTTTGAGACAGAGTCTCACTCTGTTGCCCAGGCTAGAGTGGAGTGGCACAATCTCAGTTCACTGCAACCTCCGCCTCCTGGGTTCAAGGATTCTCTTGCCTCAGTCTCCTGGGTACCTGGGACTGCAGGCACCCACCACCACACCCAGCTAATTTTTTTGTATTTTCAGTAGAGACAGGATTTCACCATGCTGGCCATGATAGTCTCAATCTACTGACTTCATGAGCCACCCGCCTTGGCCTCCCAAAGTGGTAGGATTACAGGTGTGAGCCACCACGCCCAGCCAGCTGTATTTTGTTACACTGGTTACTGAGATAAACAGTGGACTAGAGATGAGGTCCTGTTCTCAAAGGTCTCAGCATTTATTGAGAAAAGTAGACGGGTAAACTGACAGTTACCATACACCTTGACACATACCATGGAAGGTGCACAGGGTTCTGTGAAGGCGCCAAGGAAAGGCCCTATTCTGAGATGACTAGGCTAACTTAGTGCAGTTCTTACGTTCTTTATGGCAGAAACTTCCATGAAGAACTTTGAGGAATGGTTAGCTGCTCCCCTACAACACTGTTACCACATTAGAGTGACAGCAAATTCTGCCGTGTATATAGGCATTTATTAAATAAATACTCATTTAGAAATAGGTTCTGCAACCTATTTTTCAAACTGAGTAATGTCCCAGCTCTTTGTCATTTTAGGTGTCTGACCTCTTGTAAGGGATGTGACATTACAGAAGCAGGATTCTGTTACTCAGAATCGGCATCAGGCAAACAGACGCTTCCTAAGCCGATGACTGCACACAAGTGGTCCGGGCAGCATTCCTTTGTGATCAGATGCAGACTTATTCCTGGTTTATGCAAAAGTTGGGACTATCTCTAAAATATTTTATTCAATATACATATCTCAGATACCTTTTACTTTATCAATGAGAGTCCATTTCCAATATTCACCATGGTGGTTAACAGGTCATTACTTTCACCAATAAAAATATTTCCATTTTTAAGCTAATGAGCCAAGTCTTAGTGTTGGTGAACATAGAATAGCTGAAGAGCTTTTTTTAGTGGCTGCCTTGTGGAGTTCATGTTAGCTGGCCTCTTCTGAAATACAGATTCTTAATTTGGGCCATGACCATTCCTGAGTTGAAGCCCAAAAGTAAATAGCACATACTTACTATCACGCTGTTTATGCCGTCTATCCTTACTTGAAAATATATATCATAGTGGGTGGTCATTCCAGATTAGGGGTCAGGAAAGGCTTCCCTGCAAAGGTAAAGTTTGACCTAGTCTTAAGAAACAAGGGAAATGATAACCTAGGCAGATGGAGGTGAATATAACACATTGTAGGAAATGGGAGTGGTTCTGCATGTCTTCAATATAATATGAAAGCATGGAGAAGTCTGGTAAAAGATAAATAGGGATTCAGACCACAAAGAACCCAAGTCTGTGAAGTTTGCTTTCTATCTTGATGATAAGGTTTCCAGCAAAGGTAAGATTAAAAGCAGAAAGACCAATTAGAAGAGTAAGATATTTGTCCAGGCAAGAAAAAAGGTCCTAACCCTAGGCTATCTTAGTGGAGTAAAGAGATTAGATGGATTCAAATATTAGCTATTTTTTCTCTCAGAAAACCCTGACACTCTCCTTAAATCTGAGTAAGTGTCCTTCCTTCCCTGAGCTCATGGCACCCTGAATTAGTCCCTACCAATACCTGGATGGGTTGAGGTTGCCTGTCTACTTAATGCCCATCTCCCATTAGGCCATATGCCTCGTGAGGGCAGAGCGGTAACCATGTCAGTCTTTACAGGTTTGTATCCTTAAGTGTAGAACAAAGTAGTCACTCGTTCATTGTTGAATAAATGAGAGATATACGAAAGAGATTTCATAGGACTCCGTGGTTGTTTATGAGAAGTGAAGGGGAAAAGAAATTTCTGGCTCTGATGACTAGAGGAAAAATAAATGAAACATCATTATTGTTTCAGGCTTGTCTCCCAGGCATGGCCAGTTCCTTATTGAATCAGCAGTACTCGAAGAGAGATTTACCTGAAGATCAGTGTGAAACTCAACACCTAATTATTACTTCCTTAGTTGGGTGTATATTTTTGTGTTGATATGCTTGTGTGCTCATGTACATCTATGTATATATTCTGGTTCTTATCCTTGAGCTACAGTCTCTCTTCCCAAAGTTGCATTGACAGATGGAAGCAGCAGTAGTGTCTGTTGAACAGAGTGACTGCCAAAGTGACATGTGTAGGAAACACAAAGGAAGCAGTAATGTTCTTGATTTAGCTAAAAAGTCTCTGTTGACCGATAACTGAAGGAAGTGTTTGGTGACTCTGCTGTCAATATTGGCCCTGCCAAGAGCTGGATTCAAGTGCTAAGGAAACCAGAGTCATGTTCTGTAGGACTCTGCTCACTTCCTGGGGCTTCTTTTTAGGTATTTCATGTAGGAGTCACTCTGTAGAATGTCACTGTTCCACTCTGCCGCTGCATGTCAGAGTGTGCATCACATTCCACAACATGGATCTTTTTTTCTTTTTTTTTTTTTTTTTGAGATTGGAGTCTTCGCCACTCTATCCCCCAGCCTGGAGTGCAGTGGTGTGATCTTGGACTCACTGCAACCTCTGGCTCCCAGGTTCGAGCATCTCTCTGCCGCCGCCTCCCGAGTAGCTGGGACAAGCACACGCCACAACCAGCTAATTTTTTTTGTTTTTAGGAGAGAGGGAGGTTTCACCGTGTTGGCCAGGCTGGTCTCAGACTCATGACCTCAACTTCCCAGAGTGCTGGGGATTACAGGCATGAGCCCCATGCCCGACCCACAACATGTATCTTTTCACTAGCATTTGCATTATAGATATTCTTTACAAAAGCTTTAGATTGGCAATATTTATTGTATATAAAATTGGTATATATTTACTTTTATTAATTTCTTCTTAGTGGGCTCTAATTGATAGTTTCCAGTAACGGAGTTGGAAGATACACATGGTTCCTTAGGACTTTAGTATTTGGATATGTATGACCAGAAATTTAAAAATCAGGAATCATTGCCTTCAGATAAAAATTGACATAAAACCCATTGCAGTGAATTCCCCAGGTATAGATCCAAATGGAGGTGTTGACAGTGTTTAAGGTAGGTCAGAGAGTTAGTTCGGGGCAGCATCAGACACCATCAGCTATGATGCATCTCTTCTTGACTACCAAAGAAACCACACCAAGAATTTTCACGAAAAGTTGGGTCTGTTACATTTACGATAACTAGAGAGCATTTTGTCTTATGTCTTGATCACAGGTACATGGTTACTTCTCTGAGCAACTCCTGGTTTTAGATCGGTTTTCTCTGCCAGTGGTTCTGCAGAAGCTGAGGGGCCAGGTGCTCTGTGTGGAAGACTATCCTCAGGCTGCTGGTGCCACTGGAGGTTTCTCCTCCAGTGTTCTCCTCAAAGTAACTTCTTCCAGTTAGGGACAATGCATAGGGAATGAGACAGTGGGGAAGCCTTTCCAATAGTTCTGTGAATCCATTCAGTAGTATTCCGCAAGCCTCTGTTAGGTGCCAGGGTTCAGAGGGACAAAGGACAGTGAGAAATACAGTTCCCTCTTCTCGCACCATTTACATGTTAATGGTGGACTGAACTGGTGGATGTCAATGCCAAGCCTCTTCAGAAGTTGATTTTCAGTTTGTTTAAGTATTTCAGGTAGGTTATAGAATTTGGAGCTGATTTTGGAGTTTTTTAAGAGCGGTGTCTCACTGTTTGCCCAGGCTGGAGTGCAGTGGCACAGTCATAGCTCACTGCAGCCTCAGACTCCTGGGTCAATGGATTGTCCCACTCAGCCTCCTGAGTAATTGGGTTGTTATAGGCATGAGCCTCATGCCCTGGCTGTGTTTTTTTTTTTTTTTTTTTCGGTGGTTGTTACAGGTGTTCTGCGAAGTAAGGTTTTTATAACCAATTCCCAGTCTTGCTGCTCATGTCAGCAATATAGACAGCTATACTTGCTCATAATTTTTGTTGAATTACAGGTTGGCTTTTTTTTTTTTTTTTAAGGGAAAAAGCCTCACAAAGGCCACTGTTTCCATAACAACCGGAAAAGCTGGCCACAGTGTCTCAACTGACTGGCCCTAAGAATGGCTGGTTGGTAGTTTCACAAAAGTCAAGGGAAACATGAAATGAAGAAAACACTGAGATAGATGCAGTATTTTCTAGCCATCATTTGATGGAGGCTTAAATAAAATAAAGATACATTCACCTTTTGATGCCTCACCCTTAACTCTTTCCTGCAAAGATGCGAGTTCTCATAAACAACAAAATGATAGCCCTTGATGGATATAGATGCTTCTTCTCTAGAGTATTTGTCTTAATAGGACTCCAAATATGACTTCATTGCCTCTACTGAGCACCCCCGCAATTAAAGGAAACAGAGAACATGATTCAATCTTTGTTTTTGTATTAGTAGAGTTGAAAACCTCAGCAAGACAGATGCCTTTTTATGGATGTGAAGAAGCTG